AGTCCAAGGTGCATTGAAGGAATTGGCAAAGAACAAGGCACCAGGAATTGATGGAATAAAAATTGAAATCTTTCAAGAAAGTGAGTCAGCACAGGAGGCACTCACTCATCTCTGCCAAGAAATTTGGAAGACAACTATCTGGCCAACTGATGGAAAGAGATCTGTATTTGTGCCCATTCCAAAGAGAGGTGACCCAACGGAATGTGGAAATCATCAGACAATCTCTTTGAAATCCCATGTGAGTAAAGTTTTACTAAAGGTAATACAGAAAAGGCTGCAAGCATACATTGACAGAGAACTTCCAGAGGTTCAAGCCGGATTCAGAAGAGGCCGTGAAACGAGGGATATCATTGCTGATGTCCAATGGATCTTGGCTGAAAGCAGAGAATATCAGAAAGATGTTTACCTGTGCTTTATTGACTACACAAAGGGTTTCTATTGTGTGGATCATGACAAGCTATGGACACCATTGTGAAGTATGAGTATTCCAGAACACTTATTTGTGCTCATGAGGAATCTGTACCTGGATAAAGAGGTAGCTGTTCGAACAGAACATGGGAACACTAAATGGTTTAAAATTAAGAAAGGTGTGCAACAAGGTTGTATTCTTTCACCATACTTATTCAACCTGTTGTTGTTGTTGTTTTGTGCCGTGGAGTCAGTTCCAACTCAAAGCAACCTTGTACAGGTTTCTGAGGCTATAATCTTTATGGGAGCACAAAGCCTCATCTTTCTCCTGCGGAACATCTGGTAGTTTCAAACTGCTGACCTTAAGGTTCGCAGCCCGATTCGTAACCACTATGCTACCAGAGCTCCTTATTCAACCTGTATGCTGAGAAAAGAATGTTAGAAGCTGGGTTTTATGAAGAAAAACGTGGCATCAGGATTGGAGGAAGACTCATTAACAACCTGTGATATGCAGATGTACAACCTTGCTTGCTGAAAGTGAAGAGGACTTAAAACATTTACTGATGAAGATCAACGAGCACAGACTTCGATATGGATTACATCTCAATGTCAAGAAAACAAAAATCCTCACCACTGGACCAATAAACAACATTCTTATCAACAGAGAAAAGACTGAAGTTGTTAAAGACTTCATTCTTCTTGGATCAACTATCAACACTCACGGAAGCAGCAGTCAAGAAATCAAACGACGTATTGCATTAGGCAAATCTGCTGCACAAAATATTTTTTAAGTGTTGAAGAGCAAAGATGTCAGCTTGAGGACTAAGATGCGCCTGACCTAAGCCATGGTATTTTCAATAACCTCATATACATGCGAAAGCTGGACAGTGAATAAGGAAGACCAGAGAAGAATTGATGTTTTTGAGTTATAGTGTTGGAGGAAAATACTGAAAGTGCCCATAGAACCAACAGATCTGTATTGGAAGAAGTGCAGCCAGAGTGCTCCTTAGAGGCCAAGATGGCCAAACTTCGTCTCTCATATTTTGGACATATTGTCAGGAGGGACCAAGCGCTGGAGAAGGATATCATGTTTGGTAGGGTGGAGGGTCAGAGAAACAGAGGAAAACCTCCAATGAGATGGACTGGCCAAGTGAAAGCATCAATGGACTCAAGCGTGGCAACAGTAGAGAGGTTGGCCCAGGATCAGGCAGTGTTTCGTTTTGCTGTGCATAAGGTCACTATGGGTCAGTACCGACTCGATGGCACCTAACAACAACATACTGCTCAGCAAGCCTATTGTGTTTCTTGGGTCAACTCACTCTTCCTCTCTCTACAATTCACAAAACTTCTCTTTTTGTTGTTAGCTGCTGACAAGTTGGTTCTGACCCATAGCTACCTATGTACAACTGAACGAAATACTGCCCAGTCCTGTGCCATCCTCACAATTGCTGCCACACTTGAGCCTATTGTTGCGGCTGTCACTGTGCCAATCTGTTTTGTTGGGGAAATCCTTTTTTTCTTTTTGGCTGACTTCACCCAGCAGGATGTCCTTTTCTAGTCTCCTCAAAACTTGTATCACCTATGGAAGAAGCCAGCCTTCAAAATGATCCCAATGACCCCTACACCTCCTAGTTAGTATTCACACCCTTGTAGTTCCTTCCCACATTGGACCAGATTGGTCTGTGACCAACAGAATACTATGGAAGCAATGATGGCATGTCACTTTCAAGTTGTTGTTAAGTGCTGTTGTGTCGGTTCCGATTCACAGTGACCCTGTGTAGGGTTTCCAAGGAGCAGCTGGTGATTGTGAACCACCAACCTTGTGGTTTAAACTGACCTTGCAGTCCAGTGCTTTATGCCACAGTGCCACACCAGGGCTCCGTCACTTCTAAGAGGAGGTTATGAACATCACTACAGTGTGCATCTTGGTGTGTTCGCTCACTCGCTTGTTGTGCACTGTTGATGTCTCGCTCTCTCCACTCGCTCTGGAGAAGCCAAGTCATAAACTTCCCTATGGGGAGGACCACAGGGAGAGCAACTGAAGCCTCCTGCCAACAGCCATGGGAGTGAGCTTAGAATAGGTCCTCTAGTCCCAGTCAAGTCTTCAGAAACTGTAGGGCCAGCTAACAGTGTGAGTGCAGCCTTATGAGAAATTCTGGATCAAGAACCACCCAGCTAAACTGCTCCTGGATTCCTGACCCTCAGAAACCTGAGATAATAAACCTGGGCTGTTTTCAGTAGCTGCTTTAGAGTAGTAAGTTACACCGTCGGTAACTGATACACATCTATTCCTTATCACCTCTCATCAGGTGATTTCACTTCCGACCTCACAGATGAAAACAGAAGCCATCAGACAGGAACTCTGTCTCACAAATGTGCCTTCATCTGGACAGCCGAGCCTGCACCTTCATGCCGAAGGCCAATCCCTCTCCCTGAGCTTTGGAATCCGTCTCCTCCTGCTTCTTCACCACGCTTGCACTACTCATTGCTCTTCCCTAGACCCACTTTTTCCCTTTCAGCTGTTTTTCTGTTTTTTAGTCTCAATTGGCTCATAGGAGTAGGGAATAGGGGAGGAGAAAGAGAGAAGACATGACAGAGAAGAGAAAAGAGTCAACATAGAGAAGAGAAAAGAGCAGCCTCATTCAACCTCGCATCATCTTTCAACTGCTTTAGGGTACTTTGTTACACAACAGACAACTGATACGCAACTGCTCCACAGCCCCCTGTGGCACAGATTACTAGCTTTTCCACTTTCTCATTCTCTTCAGTGATAAAGGACAACCAGTTTTCTCTTTGGGGACTGGCAGGATGGTAGGAAACTTTTCTGTCATTTCAATCTGTCAACATTATTTGTGCAATACACAAAAATACCATGCTAGTATTATGAAAATAAGGGAGGGGGAAGGTTGAAATCCTTGTTTGTTTTAATCCCAGGAAAACTGTTACATATTTATTTAATTGTTTTCTTATCAACCACACCACCTCTTAAGAACACATGACAATTTCAACTTTAAAACAGTTTTCTAACAGGCCTCCTGCAGAGCCTTTGCAGTGTATAGGACCTTAGGTGGAATCCTGAGCTCCATTCAGAACCTTCTGAGGTGGGGCATTCCCACTTGAAAAGACAAGAAGACCAGCCTGGAATAGCTGAAGGAACAGAAGATACTTCTTGAAAGAAAGACCAGCAGGAAAAATCCAAAATAAAAATGGCAATCTGACTGGATACTACAAGAACAAGCAAGTTGTTTGCTGGGGAGCCATCAAGGCAAGCAATCAAATACCTTCAGGACAAACCCCACTCCAAGACTGAAACTCAAAGGGAACACATGAGCATGCCTGTGAGCTTGCTGGCGACCACACTGGTCGTCTGATGAGTGGAAGAGGGGGAAAGGCAGGAATGAAGACATGGGCTGAGTTCAACCACAGTCCATAGACTCCCATCAACCTGGAAATGAGAGAGAAAAGAGGAAGGGCTGGTTGGTCTGATGTGTGGTGAGACTCGGGAACTCCTGCACCCATGGATAAGGGCATAGCGACAGAGGGCGAGAGCTGAGAGTGAAGCATCCAGCTGATATGAAGTGAGGGGAGACACAAAAGAATGCCCAAACTTGCATATAATACCCATTTGACCTAGCTTCAATGGCTTGATGATCAGAACTCGACTAGAGGAAGATTAAAAAAAAAACAACATTCATTTGATAAAGGAAACAAGTGTAAATTGCTACAATTTGATTTGACCTATACTTATAGTATACTTATAGTAGCTCAAAATACCAACTGAGAGGGAATGAGTCTACACATCAAGGATCAATCCTACCCCCTCTGTATACAGGGTTGATAGGGATGTGCAACTTAGACATTGGCTACCTAAAATGGGAGGAGCTATGAAAGGCACAAAGTGACTGGCTTACAAGTTTTCAAGAGGGAGTTTAGTTTCAGAGGGTGAGAGGGAAGTTAGAAATCCCACGGAATAGTTTCATCTCATCTAGATGGGTCCAGTGAAAAGATATGGGGATAAGAGCCTTATGATTCAATAGTGAGTAATTGTTATCATGATGAATTGCAACTCTCTCACCTGTAAAAGTACAAGTTTTGTAACAAAAAGAGGGGAATAGTTAGTCTTATAGTCCAGAAACAGAGGACCCTAGGACCATCAAAGGAGAAGAGCACGAGCAGAATATGGGACCTTATCCAGAGAAACAGTGACACCAGAGATAGAGACAGAGATGAAGGCATGGAGAAATAGAGCAGCTGAGGACTCTATACTTATGGAAAGAGAAAGGCTGTGTGTTGGCAGCCAGGAGGCAGCCTTGGAAGAATGTGCCCTTTGGTTGTTTAGATGATTATGTACTCCTAGTGTTTTTGTGTATATAACCACACACACACCCCAAAATAAAACCAAAACAGAGTCAAAGCAAATACTGTTGAATGATTTTTTTAAAAAATCATTTGGATCGTTACCATTTATATCACTGACTTTCTTTCCCCATTTAGCAAGTACAGCAAGAATATATTATTATTAAAGTAAACCTACCCCCCCCCCCCCAAAAAAAAAAAACAGTTTCCTAGAAAGAACATGTAACAAAGGATACAAATGCTCCTACTACAAATGTTGGGTTAAAGACATGGTTCTGGAAGGTGAAGAGTGTCAGCCCCATGTAGGAGAAGATGAAATTCTCTGCCAAGAAATTCAGAAGCTCAAATAACTGAAACCAAATTTAAAAGGTTAGTTCCATAGCAAAATTGAGGTATATAATTTGAAAACAAGATTACTACTTAATAATTAAACAAACCCTTCATGTAACAGGGTATTTGAGTGGTTGGTGGGTTTGAACCACCAACCTTGCGGTTAGCAGTACAGTGTTTATCCTACAGTGCTACACCAGGACTCTATTCACTTATTATTTAACAATAATAGATAAACTTTATCAAGTTTTTACTAGGTGCCAGATAATATGCTAAATAATTTCACAATAACTCTGCAAAATAGGTACTGTTATTATTCCAATTTTACAGGTGAAGAGACAGAAATGAGATGTTATGTAACTTTCCCAAGTCATATTCCAAGTAAGTGTGGGACTGGGCAGTGAAACGATACAATGACTCCAGATCGCTAGCTTTATCAGGGGTTGGCAAGCTTAGGCGAAGAGCCAGATAATAATTTAGGCTCTGCCGACCACACAAAGGTCTCTGTCACAAGGACCCCACTTTGCTATTGTAGTGCAAAAAGAGCCGTGTTGTTGTTAAGTGCTATTGAGCTGGTTCTGATTCATAGGGAACCTTTACAGGGTTTCCAAGGAGTGGATGGTAAGTTTGAACAGCCAACCATGTGGTTAGCAGTCCGGTGCTTATTCTATAGCTCCACATCAGGATTCCAAAACAGTCTTACACTATATACATAAACGAATGGGTATGACTGTGTTCCAATAAAACTTTATTAATGGGCATTGACATTTGAATTTCATGTAATTTTTACATGTCACAAAATATACTATTCTTCTGATTTTTTTCTCCCTACCATTTAAATAAGTGAAAACCATTGTTAGTTCCCAGACCTTTTTTAAATTAGATATGGGCCAGACTTGGCCCAAGAGCCTTAGTTTGCCAACCTCTGCACTCTACCATACTGTTACTTTGCAGGGCCTGAAATGAAGAGTGAAGGGCTGAATCTTATCTGGATCAGTCAGCAGGAGCTCTAGACAGATCAATAGTTAATATTATCTGTATCACACACAACAGCTCCAGTTAGACCAGAATGAGCTTCCAAAACCTCCCTCTTAAAAGCCAGTAAAAGGAAGCTGGCTAGTGCACTCCTAGTCATAACAGCTCCTGACTCTTCTGCTGACCCATCACCACCTTCAAAGCTGTCACCCTTTTACTAGCCCATCCCGTCTGTTTCTGGAGTCAAAGGAAGAGGAGACAAACTGAGTAGAGATAGTTTAAATCAGATCAAAGATTATATATATATATTTAAAGATTCTGTTATACTGAGAGGAAAAGTTTGTTCATGAACGCTCAAGCTTCTCTTACCTGTTTAGTTCTATGCTGAGACTCCGTGGACAAGTTGTTGTATGTATAATGTGCTTGTGTGATGCCACAAAACAATACTGCAACCACCCCTATAAAGACAAATAAGAGTTCCGAGTTCATGTAAAAGGATGGTTCCCAACTTTTGTTAACTGAAGGTTCTTAGTTGAGAGAAGTAGGCTACATGCTTACATTAAAACTTCCATTTGTGACTTTCTTTGTTGAGAGGAACCATTTACATTGAAAATATTATGCTCTAAAGTAAGAGCATAAATCCCAGCTACAATAAGTGTCTTCAAATACTAGCAGAGTTTGTCCACTTGTCAAACAAGTGACTGGCAAAATAACTCCTTGTAAGGGTTTACAATCATAAACAGGAAGTAACCTACCTGTGAAGCCCCAAGCTTCAGCCAAGAGGAAGGTACTCCAGGACATCAAGAAGAATAGACCTGTCTCCAACAACTGGAACTCCCGTAATTTGGTGAACTTGGTTACGTAAGGCTGTTAAGGTTGGTAACAAGAACTCATAATACAGGAGTGTGACTACAAAACAACAGCAAGGCAACTAAAAAAGACTGGGGAGGGGGTCTCTAATCATTCTTACAAAACCCACACAGAATGAAGTGGCACCAAAGTGAAGCAACTCTTAACTGAGAAGTCAGCAGCCTCTCTCCATGGGGTTGTTTTACAGTCTCATTAGACCAACTATTTTGTGGATATCACATACCTGACAGGAAGCCATGTAGAAAAGGGCCAGAGGCACAGATCAGATACATAACACTTGAACGCTATTAATTTCCAACCCAAAGTAAGACCGCTTCCCTAATTCTAGCAATGTGCATTGATAACAAGTAACTTGCATATGACGTCACGTTTGTTTTCTCATCCAACACCTCCTTATAATTATTATAGTAGACCTATTTCATGAGGAGAAACTTCACTCACTCAGACTAAAAATTATTTTGTTCATCAACACTAGTAGTGACCATGTTAAACTGTGAAAACTCTTAGGTTAGAATCTAGATTCAGACTAACAAATGTGTGTTGTTGTTGTTAAGTCCATGTATGTACAAGGGTTCCACGAATAGGCTAGTGGGTGTGAACTACCAACCTGGTGGTTAGCAGTACAGTGCTTATCCTATAACGCCACACTATAAAAAAATTAACGAGACAGATTCCCACTCTCAGGGAAGTGGTATGGTAATGGGGAACTGATACTATCTGTCCAGGCTCCTGCTTTATATTTCTTTTTAATGCCCTTTCTGCTACAGTTCACCTATAAACGTCCATAAAAATTAACAAAAAGTCTCTTCCAGCATTAGAGAAACTTACAGATCCTTAGAAAATAAGAACACAATTTGTGTTACACAACAGTGTCTTAGACGTTTCCGATTTGGAAACTCTTTAGAGTTCATCCAGTCCCAATCAGCTTTCCTGCTGCCCCGGTCTCTCACTTTCCTCCACTGAGGTCCAAAGAGGTGAAGTATAAAAGCTTCTAACATTCTAAAGTGTCTGCCTCTCTGCTGTGCGTACCATAAGGGCAGGGGCCCCGTTTATCTTGTTCATCGTTGATACCCAGAGCCCAGCATCGCATCTGACATACAGCAGCAACTCAGTAAATGTTTCTTGAAGGAATGACTGACCAGTACTTCTAAGAGTGACAGTACTGCAACTACAAGCGAGGTACCTCTGGTTCCCAGACCAGGACTCTAGAACAAAAAGGTGCAAATTGGGGAGAGCTGAGATGTACTCCCAGATACGCTAACTTAGTAATCCTATTTGGTTCATTTGGCATCAGATCTTACATTTCCTATCTGCCCTCTTAAACAAACAACAAAAGACTGCCAAGTTGGCCAGGAGCGGCAAACACGCACAGAGCCTCCTGGAACTATCTTCACGTCAATTCCATGGACAACCTTATGTTTCACCCCCAAAGGCTCACTGCATCTGATTCATTTTGTGTAGCTAAAGTTCCAGGGCACCTGTTGTTATTGTTAAGTGCCACAGAGGAGGTTCCGAGTCATAATGACCCTGTATAGGGTTTCCAAAGACTGGTTAGTGAGTTTGAACCGCCAACCTCGTGGTTCAAACTGACATTGCAGTCCAGCGCATTAACCCACAGCGCCACACCAGTACTCCTAGTCCAAACATAAGCGATGATATTCGTTTAGCTAGTCAGTGAATATTATTGACTCATATTTCCAAACATGACTATAAGCTTAATAATTATAATACTATCCCAATTATGGAGTTAGAAGAAACCACTGAACGAGGCATTCCATGACTTCTCGAGGAAGGAAAGCTAAACGTAATGAAAGGATATTAAAGCTGTCACCACTCCAGTAGCAGCACCCATTGCAAAAGATCCGCTGAAGATCCCAAGGAAGATCCCAATAGACTTGAACATGGCGGTGACATCAAAGGTGTGACTGTTGTCTCCAGCTGGCTGGTAGGCCACTATTGAGCTACAAAAGAAAGACTGCTCTTATTTCTCGAAGCAACTTTTCTTTAAAAAATTATTATCTACATAACAACACCCAAACTTGTAGACAGCACCCATTTGACCTAGCTTGATGATCAGAACTCAACTAGCTTGATGATCAGAACTCAACTAGAGGAAGATAAAAAACTATTTTTGGTAAAGGACACAAGTGTAATTTGCTACAATTTTATGAACTTGACCTAAACTTATGCACATAGTAGCTCAAAACACAAACCAAGAGGGATGGAGTCTTCACATCAAGGATCAACCCTATCCCCTCTGTATACATGGTAGATAGGGACAGGCAACTTAGACATTGGCTACCTAAAATTGGGGCACTATAAAGGCACGAAATGACTGGCTTACAAGGTTTCAAGAGGGAGTTTAGTTTCGCAGTGTGCAGGGGAAGGTAGAGTCCCAATTGAATAGTGTTCATCTTGTCTACACGGGTCTGGTGAAAGGAGATGGGGACAAGATTCTTATGATTCAATAGTGAATAATTGTTATCATGACTAATTAAGACTGTCACAACTATAAAGGTAGAAGTTTTGTAACAAAAAGGGGGGAGTAGTTAATCTTACAGTCCAGGAACTGTAAGGTCAGGATCATCAAGGGAGAAGAGCGGAATGCGGTACCCTATCCAGAGAAGCAGTGACACCAGAGATGGAGGCAGGGATGTGAAAATGGAGAGACAGAGCAGCTAAGGACTCTAGACTCATGGAAAGAGAGGGACTGAGTGTTGGCAGCCAGGAGGCAGGCTTGCAGAATGTACCCTTTGGTTGTTTAAACCATCATATATTCCTGCGTGTTTTTGTGTACATAATAATAATAATAAAAACAGAGGAAATAGAAGCAAACACTGTTAACCAATGATGCATGAAATGCATCATTGTAATGAAATGAAATATGATAGGTTTGAGTGCAAAACTGATGTTCTCCCATGTAAATTATTATTCAATTCACAATAAAAACTTGAAAAAAAAATCTGAGTATACCATGTACACTAGTTTCTCTTCATACCTCCCCTAGTTTAAGTAAAACAAACAAAAATCTGTGACCAAATTACAATTTTCTAATCTGTGAAGTATTTAATTGAAATATAACACTAACATGACTTCCTGATGATTGCATTTATAAACTTTTGAGGCTCAAAGAAAACTGAACATTTTTAAGTTTGGGTTTAAATGTTCAAAGTAATCAGATCATTTGGGGAACAATAAATTTGATATTGCTCTTAGTAAATATAAAATCATCTTTAATGTAATGCTCCCTTAACCTACACATAAAGGGCCCCATCACCACAAATGAGATCTGACTACATTAAAACTTCACAAATAGAGCAGCTAGCTGGAGAAAAGATATTTTCTTTCTCCCTGGCGACATTTTTCAAAATGCTGACTGGAATCAGACGATTCCTATGTACCACCTTGAAGACACAGCAAAGGAACATAAAAGGTGATGATAAGCATATTGCTGAGCCCTCGGGCTAGTAACCTATTTTCTCAACTCCATTAAGACATGTGCACAGCCAACAATTTCCCTCTTAGGATACGCCCTGGATAGAACCCTTCTCCACCAGAGTTCCCCCAGAGTCATAATGAATTATCTTATCTTACATGCATTTCAAATGGTAACAGCAGTGTAGCGGCCTTAGGAGTAGTGAGAAGAGAGTCACTCAAATAAAGAGTTTTCTAGGTGTCATTCTCTCATAGAACCCTCCCTGAGAAAGGGTTCAACAGAAGGATACGCATGGAAAGGGCATGCTCTCTTTAACACATTTATTCTTCACCAACAGTGATATGTATACTCCCAAGCTCACTGCTCTTACAGTTGCAAGGAGATTGCTTTGTTAACTGGAAAAGCTAAGGCACCAAAGACATCAACTTCAGATAGGACGAAAATAGAGATGTTATGACTCTTCATCCATCAGGGCACTGAGAAATAACATAATGATTAAGGGCAATGATAAGTTGCCAGGACAGGAAAGTGATGCTCAAAGCAACTACTCGTACCTTATTCTGAAAGTTTCCATAATCTTTGTAGTTTCGTTTTTTGTCAAATAACATGCAAGTAACAACATTCATTCCTCCAAATAACATAACTCTTATTTTGTATCTACTGCCATTGAAGGTGCTTACATTTAGTATCAATACGAGTTCTAGTCTTTAGGGTCTATTTCTTAAGTTTACATTATAGATTCTGTAATGTATGAGGGGGTAAATTTACATTCAGTGCATTCACAAAAAAGGATTTGACACTTTGTATATCTTCACACACAAAAGTTAAGGGGTTAATGTAGAGAGTCATCTACGAAAAAATCATTTTCCACTTTGCAGGAAGACAATCAGACCACACACACCAGAGTTAGTAGGTAATTATTCTTTTATAAGTTGTTGTTGTTTGTTGTTAAGTACCGTGGAGTCGGCTTCGACTCATAGTGACCCTGCATAGGGTTTCCAAGGCTGTAAATCTTTATGGGAACAGAACGCCTCATCTTTCTCCCGCGGAACCACTGGTAGTTTCGAACTGCCGACTTTGAGGTTGGCAGCCCGATTCGTAACCACTACGCTACCAGAGCTCCTTATTAGCAAAGTAAAAATTAAGGTTGGAAATATTTTAAAAAGAGAAAATATGAAGGGCTTTTACTTCTTTATCATAGAAAGTTCTAGTCTGGAGTAAAGGCATATGAATATTTGCATAGTAGGTGTTGGCAAGCAAGACTGAATTCCCATTTATCCTTCTACTAGCGTATAATAAAATTTTTATAATTATAGAAAAACAATGTTGATTTCAACAATGGCCTTCAATAAAAAAGTATATTACTTACACTTCTAAAGATTAAAAAGTTTTTCTGAAATGCAAAATAAGAGAAATACTATTTAAATTACAATGTGATGTCTCTCAGTTATCAAACTGGCAAAAATACGAACATTTGGCCAATACTTTGCTGGTGAAACTGTGAGGAAACAAGCACTCCCAAACTTTACCAGTCCAGGTGTAAAATGGCACAATTCCTGTCACAGGCAATTTAGCAACAGCCAACAAAATTGCCAAGGAGCTATGGTAGCGTAGTGGTTACGAACTGGACCGCTAATCTGAAGGTCAGCAGTTCAAAACTACCAGCAGTTCCGTGGGAAAACGATGAGGCTTTCTGCTCCCATAAAGATTTACAGCCTCAGAAACCCTGTGCAGGGTCATTATGGGTCAGAATCAACTTGACGGCACTTAACAACAACAACAACAAAACTGCCAGTACACTTACCCTTTAATCCAGCAAGCTCACTTCTTGGAATTTATCTTACCAATATACCTATACATGTATGAAATGAGGCAAGTTTAAGGTTAATCACTGGAGCACTGTTTGGGATAATGAAAGATTGAATGTACTCCAAGTATCCAATGCTATAGTACAGTTCACATGTAATACTATGCAGCTACAAAAAAACTGGGAAACTCTGTTTTGATCTCCAGAATATACTGATAATATGATAAAAAAAAAAAAACCTAGGTATAGAACAGATACAGTTGTTACTTTCAAAACAAAAAGATGAAAGGCAAATACACATATGAATAATTATTCATATTGCTTGCATTTGCATAAAGAACTAGTAGAAGGAAATTATTTTAAATGTTTACCTACAAGTGGTGGTGGCGGACAAAATAAGAACAAGAGTAAGAACCTGATTTTTGATTTTTGAATCAAGTGAATATATATTATCTATTCAAAAAAGTGTGGTGCTGTGGGTTAATGCGCCAGACTGCAAAGCCATTTGAACTGCAAGGTCAGCGGTTCAAGCTCACCAGCTGCTCCTCGGAAACCCTATACAGAGTCACTATGGGTCAGAACCGATTCGTGGCATTTCACAACAACAACATTCAAAATAAGTAAATTCAAAAGTTAAAATTTTCCTGTTACAATGTTAAAAATGAATACAAAATCATACACATATATTTATGTTGCTGTTGTTGTTACGTGCCGTGGAGTCGGTTCTAACTCATAGCGACCCTGCACAGGGTTTCTGAGGCTGTCAATCTTTACGGGAGCAGAAAGCCTCATCTTTCTGTGGTAGAACAGCTGGTAGTTTCAAACTGCTGACCCTGAGGTTAGCAGCCCGATTCATAACCACTATGCTACCAGAGCTCCTTATATATGTATGTATGTATATATACATATTACAATCAACTGTGCAAAAATACTCTGTATTTTATTCTAAAGTAGAATAAAAGTGTATGGAAATTTGCTAAAATGTTTACAGTAATTGTCTTTAGGCAGTAGAAGTACATACCATTTTTTTAATTCCCTTCATTTTCCAAGCTATTTCTAAAGTATGAGAGTAAGTTAAAAAGTATTACAATAAAATCACAGGAACATTAAACAAAAGTATTTCAATGTGACGCTTCTGTTTCTCAATATATCCACCACCTAGGTCTGTACAGTCCTGAAAACAGTATTTCCATCTTTCTAGACCTTCCCTGAAGAATTCTCTTCAATTTACACCACATCGAAATGACAGGGTCTCAAATTGTGTACCTTCTGAAGTATTCTTTGAGTTTTGAGAACAAAAAGAAATCGGGAGGGGCAAGGTCAGGGCTGCAGGGCAGATGGGATAAGGTTTCCCAATAGAATCCCCATAGGACAGGCCTTGCTACCTTTGAAGACTGAGCAGGTACGCTGTTGTGATGGGGGTGGGGGAGCCTGCACAACTTTCCTGGCCTTTTTCTCGATGTAAATTTTAAATTTTCTTAAAACTTCTTCATGATAAGCCCCCGTGCTTGGCATGTATCCTTCAAGAAAATCTATCAAGATGATTCCTTTGGAATCCCAAAAAAACAATCTCCATAACCTTTGGAGCTGACCATTTCTCTCTGGCCCAGCAGATTGCCTCAGAAACCACTGTTTTGCTTGGACCTGTTATTTTTCTTTGAAGGGACCCTAACAAGACTAAGACAAGTGTATTACTGGAAGAACCTGTCTGCAGCCACCCACTGATCACAGAAAGGTGATTCAGCACATTCTGGAATAAACCCATGCAAATATGAACTGGAACCCTATGAGACATACTTTTTGACTTGCCCTGATCTGTATTTCTTTAAGAAGAAAAAGATGACTCATTCTTCCAAACATTTCCATTCATACTCAATGTCATTCAATATTGACTTTCCGTTCCGAGCACCCTAACATTTACTAGACAGACTAAAAGAAAACAAATACTTACGAAGAGAGCACTATTGCAACAGCATCATTGAGGACACTTTCACCAAAAAGAAGCGCATAGAGTTCAACATCGACTTGAAGCTCGTGGAAGATGGCAAGTACAGTCACTAGCAAGTATAAAAAAGACAGACATTACAAGTAATACTTCTCGCCATAGACAATTACAATACTTATTTGGAATTTAATTTCCTCCCCCTTAGAAATCAAATCTAATAAACATTCCTTTACCACATTAAAGATTTAGTAACTTTATATCAATATTTGTCTTTTCCTTAATTACACACACTCACTAGCTTCTTAGTCTCGCTCTGAAATACAGCAGGGAATTATCTTAAAGGACCAAGTAGGCTCACAGTGCAAATGCTAATAACCTTGTCTTCCACATTACTTTTTCAAGAAGAAGACAGACAGGTAACCTTACTCTTGATGATGAAGAATATTATGAAGTGTTTCCTGCTGAAAACTTCAATTTTTACTTAGAGCCTTATAACTCACTTCTATTTGACTTACAAATATTGAGCATACCAATTTAGCAAACACAGAGGAAATGACACCACCAGTTTAACTTTTGGTTGGGGTAAAATACAAGTGGACTTCAAAAGTTTGTGATGAATGGCTTACAAGGTCTGAAGAGGGAGTTAAGTTTAAGAGTGTGTGGGGTAGATAGAGTCCCCACTGAATAGTTTTCATCTTGCCTAGATGGGTCTGGTAAAAAGAGATGGAGATAAGATTCTTATGATTCAATAGTGAGTAATTGTTATCATGACTAATTGAGACTGTCACAATTGTAAAGGTAGAAGTGTTGTAACAAAAACAAGGGAGTAGTTAATCTTGCAGACAGGAAAGAGAGGACCCTAGGACAATCAAGGGAGAAGAGCACAAGCGGAATGCGGGACCTTATCCAGAGAAGCAGTAACACTAGAGATGGAGGCAGAGATGGGGACATGGTAAGAGGGAGCAGCTGAGGACTCTAGACTCATGGGAAGTGAGGGACTGAGAGATGGCAGCCAGGAAGCAGACTTGCAAAATGTGCCCTTTGGTGGTTTAAATTATTATATATGCCTGAGTGTTAAAAAAAAAAAAAAAAAAGAGGTACAATGAATAGAGAGAAATACTGTTAACTAATGGTACATGGAGGGGATTATAACTATTGTACAGGAACAAAGTATAGATTTGTTGAATGTAAAACTGATGACCTGCCCTGTAAATTTTTACTCAATTCACAATAAAAACTTTAATAATAAAAAGTTTGTGGAAATTTTTAATGAAAAGACAGTGGAATTTTCCCATGATTCTTTTGAAGCCCCGTCGTATATGGCCCGAATTACAGCTGTTAGATTTAACATAAGAAGAAGCCAACCATCAGCATAGTACACCGTGAGAAGAAAAGAACCTTACTAGAGGAAAACTATTATACAAGAATCCTTAAAATAGCGAATGAGATGAAAGTTGCATTGTAACTTTAATTGCTGAGTCACATATAGCTAGCTCACTAGCGACACAAAAGATTAATATAACTAGAGATGGGACTGCCTTCTCAAATGCCAATTACAAGCAAGAAAAGGACATTTTAAAAGATATCGTTTCTACTGTAAAGCATTTCATCTGGAATCTACTGACACTGAAGGCTACAAAGACAGGGAGGAGGAGGGTGGGAACCACACTGCAGAATTTCTAAAGAATTTACAGCCCGTCCTTGACACAGAATTGGGACAAACACCTATACATTCAGAAAAAGTGTAAATGTACAACTTACATAAACAAAAGATTTGTACTTGAGCTATTCTGGCAATAACTCCCCCAAAACAAAATGAGAGTGTTGAAGTACTGTAGCCAGTCCTATGGATTTGATTCTCATAGGCTTTGAAAAGTTGAGGAGCTTGCTTCCAGCAAGAGGACACAGAAAATCAAGACCACTGGCTTCTTGCAAAAACCTGCCAGTTTTCATACTGAAAATGCAAGTAGCTACAAACTATCAGTTGGCAGCGTTGATGGTCTTTAAGGAAACGCCTTGATGTCCTCTGACTGATGTTTTAAAATCATCTCTTAAAGAAGGCAAAATGCACTGTGGCGCTGTGGGTTAATGTGTCAAGCCTGCAAAGCTGTTTGAACTGCAAGGTTGGTGGTTCAAGCTCACCAGCTGCCCCTTGGAAGCCCTATACCAGGGTCACTATGGGTTGGAACCGACTCAGCGGCACTTCATAACAACATCATACCTTACATTACTAGAGTTAAGCGGGGAATTCAGCGATAACCTCACCCATTGTCTTACTGAGCTAGTGCTGCTATAACAAGTGGATGCCTTTGACCAAAAAAATGTCTTCTCTCACAGTTCCAGAGGCTAGAAGTCTGGATTCAGAGCACTGGCTCTGGAGAAAAGTCCTTGGCTCCTCCTTTAAGTTCTTTGGAGAACTCCATGTGTCTTGACATCAATCTTTCCCTGGATCTAGAAGCTTCACAGTGCAGGGAGCCCCAGGGCCAAAGAATGCACTCCATTTCCAGCTCTTCTTTCTTGGCCCCTCTTCTCTGTTCACTTCTCTCTCCTTTCATCTCTTGTAAGAGAAAAGATCTTGTATGCCACACCCTCTGGAAACGTCCTTTACATGTGATTTGGATCATGGTGGAATTAAGTGTGGTGTATCCTTGGAAGGATAAGCACTGGACTGCTAAGCACAAGGTTAACAGTTCAAACCTATCAGCTGCTCCCTGGAAACCCTATACAGGGTCACTGTGAGTTGGAACCGACTCAACAGCACATAACAACAACATCATCCTTAGAAGAAGTACAGACAGAATGTTCCTTGTTGGGAAGTGCCACAGCGTCGTGAAACTCATAGCCCCCCTGTATGGGATTTCTGAGGAGCAGCTGGTGGGTTTAAATCACTGACTTTGTGGTTAGCAGTGCAGTGCTGATCCTACAGCACGACACCAGGATTATTGAGACTTAATCTCTCGTACTTTGAACATATTGTCAGGAGGGACCAACCAGTCTCTGAAGAAGTACATCATGCTTGGGAAAGTGAAAGACAACAAAAAAGAGGAAGAGCCCCAAGAAGGTGAGCTGACACTGCGGCAGGAAAAATGGGCTCAAACATAACACTTGTGAGGATGGCATTGAGGATAACACTGGACTGGGCAGTGTTTCCTTCTGCTGTGAACAGGGCCTCTATGAGCTGGAACTGACCCAAAGGCACAACATCCTCTTATTGGCTTATCACATCAGACCACATCACAGGGGATGATCACATTCCTGCCACATCACTGAAAATCATGGCCCACCCAAGCTGGCACATATCTGAGGGGACAAAAGTCAATCCATGACATTCCATACCTACCCCCTCCCTCCCAATTCATGTCCTAGCCACATAAAAAACACATTCACCCCATCATATCATCCAAAAGTCTTCCATGTCCATATTCCACAATTCCAAAATTTTTCTTCACCTGTGAGTCTAGCATATGGGTTATCTGCTTCCAAAGTACAATGGAGAACAGGCTACAAGATAGACGTTTCCTTACAAATGGGAGCAGTTAGGAATCAAAAACCAGATAATAGGCACCAAGCCAGTTCAAAACACAGCAGAAATGTTTATATTAGCTCTCAAGTTCTTAAAAGAAGTCTTTGTTCTCTGAGTCCATTTAGGCAATGGCCCTGCCCTCTAGACCCCAGTGTTGGCCACACATTCTGGATTCTGAGTAGAGGTCCCTCAATAATGGGCTTCAGCTCTGCTCTCCAAGCCCCCTGGAAAGGCAACTTGACTCCCTCAACTTTGGGCAGTCCCGTTTTCCTAGTCTGTCTGAGTGCTGACCCCAACCCCTCAGCCCCAGCCAACCCTGTTTTCAGCCCTCTCAGGCATGGCAGCCCGGCTTTGGGCAGAAGCCCCATCTTAACAACAGCCCACACTCCAGAACCAAATTCTGAAGAAAATCCAATTCTTTGAAACTTAAGGAAACCATGGCCCCACCCTTAGAAACCCTAGAGGTTTCTAAGTTAAGGCCTAGAGCTCAGAGGTCATGGCCCTAACTTTTAGACAGAGGCAGTTCAACTTCCCATGCTCTTTGTCTCTGCAGCATCCGCTTCCTGGTTCCTTGATCTCTAGAAGAGGCTAGCCTAGTCTCTGCTCTGCTTAAACAGTGTTACAAAGCTCTTTAGGTCTACTGATAAGCACCCACAGGCACGCCAGTCTACCAGTAAGCCTTGGCCCAAAGCTGGGTCAGAGAGCCTAACTCCATTTACAAGTCCCAGAGGCACCGCAGAGTGCCAGGAAGCCTCCTGCAGGAAGGTGCTCAGCTCTGTCCGCCGCTGTGGGTGAGTGCTCGTGCTGCCTTGCGCTGCTCTGCTGATTTGGCTGTTGCAGTTTCTCGGCCACTGCTTCTCACCGTTTGTTCTGTCTCCCGGTGTTCCAGCTCTCCTCACTTCCTTCTGAACATCATCAGAATTGCCTCTGACATCTGTAAGTTGACCAAGTCACCTCTAGGTAACCTAGGCTTTTACTATTAGGACATTTAGTACTCTTCATTATCCAACTCCAAAATCACTTGCATATTTTAGGTATCTATCAGAGCAGCACCCCACTCTCCTGGTACCAAATGTGCTGGACAGCAAGGTCGGTTTGAACCGCAAGGTCAGCAGTTCAAGCTCACCAGTTGCTCCTCGGAAACCCTATACAAGGTCACTATGGGTCAGAACCAACTTGATGGCACTTAACAAGAGCACCACCACCACCACCACCACCATAATAGAAAAACCACACGTAGGTGCCTTTACCAAACAGAAATGTCTTCTCTCACAGTTCAGAAGGCTAGAAGCCTGAATTCAGAGTGTCGGCTCTGGAGAAAGCTCCTTGTCTCCTGTCAGCATCTGAAGGCCCAGCATTCCTTGGAGAGCTCCATGTGGCTTGGCATCAGTCTTTCCTGGAGCCAGGAGCGTCACAGCTCATGGGCCCCAGGCCCAAAGAACACACTTAACTCCCCACTTTTCTTTCTTGGTGGCAGTAGGTCCCTCTACTCTGCTCACTTCTCTCTCCTTTTAGCTCTCATAAGATGAAAAGTAGTGTTGCATGCCATACCCCTGGGAGTCTCCCTTACACCTAATCAGGGTTATGATGGGATGGACGGTGTTTCCCACCTTTACTCCTCTTTACTACATCAAGTCACATCATGAGGGATCATCATAACTGCCAAACCACAGAAACTCATGGCCCAGTCAAGTGGACACAGACTTGGAGAGGGCACACAATTCAGTGACACCCACCCACTGCCATCGAGTCTAATCTGACTGACAACAACACTATAGGACAGAGAACTGCTCCTTAGGGTTTCCGACACTGTAAATCTTTATGGGAGCTGACGGCCTCATCTTTCTCCCTCACAGCAGCAGGTGGGTTTGAACCACTGACCTTGTGGTTAGCAGTCCAATATTTAACCTTGTTGTTGTTTTTAAGTGCTGGCAAATCAGTTCCAACTCATAGGGACCCTATGCAGGGTTTGCAAGAAGTAGCTAGTAGGCTATGAACCACAGACCTTACAGTTAGCAGTCCAGTGTTTATCCTATAGTGCTACACCAGGACAGGATCCTACATTTAATCGTAGTGGAAGACATTTCAAGATGATTAGCTAACAAGGTCAAAAAGTAAAACACCATATCTCTACCAAGACCATAAAGTACAGTAGAAGAAAACATCCATTCTTAGTTCAAAAACTTCAGTCTACGTACCCACCCTTATCTCTTCATCCTACACTGTCTCTAAAATTTTAATTTTACGGTAGCTGTTTAACTCGCCAATAATATATTAGAAAAACTAAACCTAATTCACCATAACCAAATTCATTTTATAACATTATTTTTTAGAAGATCTGATACTAAAAAATCACAAAGGGAACAAGTTGTGCTAATATAAAAGAATTCTATAACCTTAAGTCCCATTTATCTAAAATAATTAATTAATGTATATTAAATCCTGCCAATTAATAAATACTGTGTAGCACAATTGCCTTGTAGCAAGCATTTTAAAACTACTTTTTTCTTAGTGTGAAATACAAGCAGCTGAATGTACACAGAAAACTTTTACGGAACTGGTCTTCTAGAAGTTTGAAAGGAGCCATATAATTATTCATTTTAATTAACATGATTAAGCTCCTACATTCAATCACTAGAGATGGAAACTAATCAAAATGTTTAAAGAGAATACTTTATTGTTGTTGTTAAGCACCGTCCAGTTGATTCCGGTTCACAGGGACCCTGTGTAGGGTTTCTGAGGCTGCATATATACCTTTGCATGAGCAATCAGCATCATCTGTCTCCTGTGGAGCAGCTGGTGGGCTCAAACCGCTGACCCTGTGGTTGGCAGTGAAGTGTTTATCATACAGAATACCTTCTAGCCCTTGCCTGCTGCTGCCACTTGTTCTATGGAGTCAGTTCCGACTCAAACCCTGCATAGGGTTTCCAAGACTGTGAAAGTCTCTTTCTCCCATAGAGTGGCTGTTGGATTCAAACTACTGACCTTGTGGTTAGCAGCCCAACACATAACCCACTACGCTACCAGGGTTCCTTAACCCTTACCTAAATAACATCAAACTGTAGCCCAATAGTTGTTGTTGTTGTTGTTAAGTGCCATCAAGTCGATTCCGACCCATAGCAACCCTGAACAGGGTTTCCGAGGCTGTAAATCTTTACAGGAGCAGAAAGTCTCATCTTTCTCCCTTGGAGCAGCTGGTAGTTTCCGACTGCTGACCTTGTGGTTAACAGCCCGATTCGTAACCACTACGCTACCAGAGCTCCTTAGCCCAATAGTAGACCAATGTAAAATAAAGTAAAAGAAATATATCACACATGTGCCTAAGTCAAAAGAAACCATGAATTTTGTGTTCACTTTTATGAAATACAGTACTATAGATAGTACCTAATCATGAATTTTACACTTCAAAGGAAGAAATACTTACATATGATTTCAATGACAAAATACTGTACCCTAAGTAATGAAACTCCCATCTCATGTAAAACATACCCGGATCAGTAGCTGAAACAATGGCACCAAACAGCAGGCAATCTGTAAAGTAAACATCTCCTGCGAGCTGATCAGTTACTTTCATCAATGCCACACAGCCATACATTATTGACCTGTTAAAAGACAAGATGTCTACTTTAGAAAAAACATTCACTGCTAAAGAAGAAGAGAAGATTATTATAGTACCTTTTGATGAATCCCAAATTTAAGCCACATCATTCAAATACAGTAATGCCTTGGTCTTAAGGGAAAAATCAAACGGATTTCCTATGTAAATACATTGTTCTGTAAAAGTCCTTAGACACATCCAGGAATACAATACTACCTAAATCACATGCATATTATTTTTAAATGGTAATTTTCAAGACTGAAAAGTACAATAAGCTTCGAGTACTTACCCAATAACAAAACAAGAAATTGCTGTTCCAAGAAAAGCATATGCTAGGATAGACCCAAGGTTTCGAAAGAAATGCCTCTAACCAAAAACAAAAAAACAAAACAAAACACTGTTAGAATACTCAACAATTATTTGAAACTGAACAAACTTTCTATTCTAATGTACTATGCTAAAATGAAATGCATGATTCATTAAAGGAAATAAGTCAGAGGAAGCATTCTACTGTCATAAATACCAGCATCTAAAAAGGATAAGAAATTAAAACAAATAGAGAAGAAAGGGAGGAGAACATAGAAAGAGCTGTGTGTTTCTGAAGGGTCAAATATTTTAAAGCCCATGGAGCAGGAGTTCATTCAAAGTATATGAAATGCAAAAGCCCTTACCCTTTTCAGGCTATATCCAGCATAAAAAATGATAGGAGGAAGTAATATGTTGAAAAATACTTCTGGGTCGAAAGTAACCTGTTGAAACAAAGTTCTTTTAATATGAATTTCTTTAGGAGTACGTATTACATTATCAAGTTATTAAAAAGGAAAAAGTGCTAAACCAATCGAAGACAAGAATATCAATGTGATAACATGAAAATGTTTCATATAAGATAACTGTTGCTCTACTTCTCACCTAAGTAACGAGTAGACAGTGTTAGAACAACTGGTTAAGCCTCTTTCTGTTATGTTATCACATTGACATTCTGTGGAAACCATTAAAATACTACACTACTAAAAAACTTAAAAAGAGAAGACAGCATGAACATATTGTTGCTTGAAATAAAACAGAAACTCAAAATGGCAACATGAAGTTGGGGTATGGCATTATAGTTGACATACGGAAACAAACTTCTTGTTTATATATAGATGACATCTCTAAAAGTATACAACGTAATATTATAGTAAACAGTTCCTGCACAAAACAAATTTCTCATCTTGGCCACCCACTTACTTTAGAGATAATAGTGCTAACACCCTCTTCTGTTCATGAGACTGGAACTGAATTTGACATGAATACAAAAAAAGTTACACAAATAGCCATGCTAATTTCATTTACTAGAACTTCTAAGAAAATGGAGTTTTCCATAGATGCAAAGAACTCTTGTTCTAGACTTTAAGTTCATACGAAATTTCAAAAGCCAAAAGATGGGCAGGAACATAAAGTAGCTATATAAACTCAGCCCTGCCAATATAGAAGATAGGAGCAATAGAAGCAAACAGTCATGGGTGGATAAAAATCAAGGGCCATGAGCAAAGTGGCACTGAGAAGCATCATGCTAGAAACCATGAGGAGGACAGGAGAAAGTGATTCCAGGAATTGTCTGGAAACCAGGAAGATGCAAGCCAACCAAGTTCCAGCGCAAGATGGTAGGGTAGGCCGATGCACTGAGCAGCCCCTCTACGACAAAGACATGGGAGACCAAGTGAAAAAAATACAGATGGTGAGATCCATGAGCATCAGAGGATAGGACAGAGAGGTGGACTAAGAACCAACTAAAAGAGAGCTGAGCAGGAACAGTGAGAGAGGAGAAAAACAGGTGATGTGTCAGCTTTTGCAAGCGGATGCCAACACAGTGGCTTGGGGGCACAGGGCATGGCTGGAGGTTGGAGGCAAGAAGGGTACCATTCTCCCCTGATCCTGTGCCCTCCTGGTAGCCAGAGGCAGGTATCCAGGGGCACAGCTAGTTCCACTGTTACCAACCCAGCAACCAGTGGCAACCCTCCTGCGCAGCCTCGGCTCTGCCACCCCTCTGCCCTGAACCCCACTACACAGAGAAACTGCCTTCACACTTCCAGTTTCTACCACACCCATCAAGAGATACCACACCCATCAGGTGAGTGCCTGGACAATTTCAGTTGATGAAACAAGACAGAAGGCCTTAAACAAGTGACCAAAATGCAGAGTTAGAAAATAATAATATCAGAAACGGTATCAGAACTTCTTATTAAGGGACTTATAAGAGTGTTATTTAGGTACCTTTGATGGATTGAGAGTAAGAGGAAAGCAAGGAAAACACACACACACAAAAGAAAATTTTTAGAAAAATTCAGGAAAACACTACAAGAACCATCTGACAAAATAGATGAAAGATGATAAATAATACAAAATTAGCTATTAGAAAGACAGAAGATTAATACTTAAGACTTTTGAAGTAGTATACTGAAAGGGCAAAGAAGTAGAATTGAATTAATGAGAGGCCGAATTAGTAAAGTTAAAGGCAAATTTCTCGATACTTGTCTTCAAAAGGAACAATCAGAAATAAGAATTTAAAAAATTCGAAGGGGACCTAAGATTTATGTGGAATACTATCAAGAGGAATAACTTGCACATGGTTAGAATTCCTAAACAGGAAGAGACAAAAAAGTCATCGAGAAAACTGTGCCACTGTCCAGAAAATTTCCCTAACATCATGAAAGATGAGAATATAGCCACTCACGAAGGTAAACAAACTCCAATCAGGACTGACCACAAAAGAAAATCATCAAGACAAACTTTTCAAAAGGAAAGACAAGGAAAGAATTCTGAGGTCATCTCAGGAAAAACAAAGTTGCCTACAAAGGAAAACTAGTAAGACCAAACTCTGATTTCTCAGCAGAAACTATGCAAGCAAAAAGACAATGGTGGTGGTGATTATGTGCTGTGGAGTGAGTTCCGACTCACAGCAACCCTGCAGAGGGCTTCCAAGACTAAATCTTTATGGGAGCAGAATGCCTCATCTTTCTCCTATGGAGCAGCTGGTGGTTTCTAGCAGTCCGACTCATAACCACGACGCTACCAGAACTCCATAAGACAATGGGATGACATATATGAGACTCTGAAAAAAAAAAAAAAAGTCTACCAAGATTCATATGCCCAGCAAAATTTTCCATAATATGTGACAGCAAAATTAAGATATTTCCTGATAAACAGAAATGAAAAGAATTTGTAAAAACCAGACCAACCTTATAAAAAATAGTAAAGGGAGTTCTGTATGTTGTTATTAAGTGCCATCGAATCGGTTCTGCCCTGTATAGGGTTTGAGGAACAGCTGGTGAGTTTGAACTGATGACCTTGCAGTCCAGTGCTTATCCTACAGTGCCCCACCAGGACTCCAACCCAAATACAGAAGTATTCAAAGTAAAGTAAACCTACAAGATTGAGAATAGTGTACCAGAGATATCACTTTGCAAAAACAACAAAACTATGATATAAAAAGAGGGAATAATGTAGTTCTAGAACTTCCAAATGAAGTGGAAGTCAAGTATATTTCAAGCAAACATAAAGTGAAAAATTAACCTAACTGTAACTCTGAAACTGGACCAAGCCTTACTCCTAGTCCTAACCGAACCCTTACCCCTAACACTAACCCTAGTCCTAACCATAACCCTAACAGTAAACGAAGTCCTAGGCCTTCCGTAGACACAGCCATAGTCCCAACACTAACTCCTTACTCCTTCCCACCCCCATCCCACCCCTTCCAAAAAGAAAAGATGCAACCCAACCTCCTACATAAATCCTGGTGCAGTGTAGGATAATAACTGATATCGAGGCCCTTGCAGTTATACCAAATTATGAGTCAAAGAAAGTTTAAATTGTACTCAATACAGAATACAATCCAGGCAAGAAGTAATCTACATAAATATTATTCAGTTAAATAAATGGAATACTAAGGCATTATCAAATAAACTCAATGTACAAAAATACTATAAAACTATAAAGATCGCCTGCAAAGTGAAATAAACACTTCTGAATTCTCAATACTTTCCACCATTTATTACATTTGTAAACACAGAGTGAAACAAAAAGGGTTACAATGCTTAGCTTCAATTAGAAAATGAAATTTATATACACGCCCTATCTGAAGCATTACATTATATTCCTTATTTGAGGCTTCACTTCATTTTTAAAGATTTATTTTCAGTATCATTAACAATTCATTATTTCTTTTTTTTTCTGGTTGCTTTGCTGCTAGTTATATACTTTAAAAAAAAAAAAAAAATCCCAAAGATTCCCTTTAACTAAGTACTTACCTTTCTAAGCATTTCATTATCTTGAACATTATTGAGTTCATGTGAACTTATCTCTCCTTTTAGCGTATACTCATAAAATTTTCCACTAACATTCACCAATAAGGTAGTTGGACTTGACTGCACTTCACAGCTCAGGGTCACATTATTTACATCACTTGGAACATGAATGCCATATCGCAGCACAAGACCCACCAGAAGACCTGGAAATAAAAGGATAATTAATGTCAGTTCTGCTGCCGCCAAAGATTGCTTTAGTATCCCATGAATATATTTTGAATGATAACAGAAATTTCCCCGATAGTCCCTTGTGAGCCAGAACCAATTTTCAAGCCGAATGCGGCTACATTTTAAAGTATTACTAAATTTACAAGTCTGAAAGTCCAGTGGGACAGGAGGGGAAAACACACCCTAGGGTACTAGCACAAATGACTGCATTTCCAGTCAATACATAAATAAGTGGTGAGGAAGGTAACAAAATGAGAAAATACTATCAAACGAACTGTACTCAAGGTTCCCAACCTGATAGTGCAATCCTGTTAGTAGAAGTGTGTTTTCCACCACTATCCATTAATTCTCAAAACAGTTAAACATGTAACTTCTCAAGCTTATTCCAAAAGCACACGGCTGGCAAAATGGCACATGCTGCACAAATTGGAAAGTCAATAAAATTGTAGAGGGGTTGAGTTCTACTACTAAAAGTTCAGATTTTCATTTTAAAATATCTGCTTAACTTCAAAACCTGGAATAGAAGTCCTGAATCAGGCACTAGGAGGTCAACATACTGTTTGGACTTTACCTGGATCATCGTATTAATATTTAAAAACGCATAATGTTCTAGGTAGTATAAAGACATATTGATCAACTGTAATTTTTAAATAACAGCTTTACTGAGATAAAATTCACTCATTTAAAGTGTACATAATTCAATGGTTTTTGGGTATGCTCATGAAGCTGTACATCACTCACCATATCTAATCCCAGAACATTTTCATTTACCCCAAAAGACACCCTGGACCTATTAGCAGTCATGCACTTCCAATCCCCATCCTTCCAACCCCAAGCTTTCTCTCTCTAGGAATTTGCCTATTTCAGACATTTCATATAAATGGAATCACACAATATGTATGTAGTCTTTTGTGTCTGGCTTCTTTCACTCAGCATAATGTTTTCATGGTTTCTCCATGTGGTAGCATGTGTCAGAACATCGTTTCTCTCCATAGCTAAATAATAGTCTCCATTGTGTGGATAGACTTCAACTGTAAATTTAACTCAAACTTCAGACACTCCCCTCTACTCCAAAACACACAGGATGCCACTAGCTACTTTTTCCATTCTCGTTAGCTTTCCTTCCAACCAGTCAGCCACTCTTACATGTAACTGGAGCACTGTGCTTGGCAATCCTCCAGGTTCACAAGCATCCATTCAAGGAGCTCTAAGTCCAGATAGGAAAACAAGAATGAATGAACAATTATGACACAATATGTAAGTATACAAAGGGTTATAAAAACAGAAGAGAGATACTTAACCAAGGCTGAGGGAATGAGGCACTAAGGAAATCTTTCCAGAAGGGCTACCTGAGCAAGTAACAATGTAGCGTGGTAGGGGACAGAGTAGTATATATCAAGTCTAGAGAGACAGAGAACACAGCCCATTCAGGAAATCACCACAGTAGTTTCGAATGTTTGGTTCATAGGGTACAGGTGAAAGTAACAAGAGTTGAAATTCAAAAGATCAGCAAGGACTGAATTATAAAAGACCTTGGAGGCTGAGGAAGGGAATTTGGACTTCATCCTGAAGGCTAAAGGAAGTCATAGAAGGATTCTAAGTAGTGACTTAACATCAGATTTCTGTTTTAGAAAGATTTGTCTGGACTTCTTGTTAGGTGTATTCAAGTTGATTCTGACTTATAGCGACCCTACAGGACATATGAGCCAAGCCAGGGTCTTTTTAATAGTCTCATATGCACGTGGAAAGTTGGAAAATGAATAAGGAAGACCATAGAAGAATCAATGCATTTGATGCCTGTTGTTGGCAAGAAATACTAAAAGTACCATGGACTGCCAGAAGAACAAACAAATCTGTCTTGGAAGAAATACAACTAGAATACTCTTTAGAAGCGAGAATGGCGAGACTTCATCTCTCGTACTCTGGACGTGTCATCAGAAGGGACATCAGAAGGAAAAGTGGAGGGTCAGCGAAAAAGCTGAAGAGCCCCAACAAACGGATTGATAGTGTGGCAGAAACAATGGCCTCAAACGTAACAACAGTTGTGAGGATGGCACAGGAAGGAGCAGACAGTGTTTCATCTGTTGTCCACAGGGTCTGTGAGTTGGAAGTGGCTTGACGGTACCTAACAGCAACACTCTTGAAAGCAGACTGCCACATTTTTCTTCCGTGGAACAGCTGGTGGGTTTGAACTACTAAACTTTTAGTTAGCAGCTGAGCTAGAGGAGTAATGGGGACAGAGAAGGCTAGACTCAAAGGATTTTTTAGAAAGTATTGTGGACAAGATTTGGTAACTAAGTAGACTGGGAGGAAAGGAGACAAACGAATAAGAGAAGCCTACATAGACTTGGAAACCAGGTGGAAGAGCTGGTCTGAGTGACTAGGGGGATAGCAGGATCAGAATACGGGCAGAAGATGCCAAGTTCAGGTTTGGACATGAGTTTGATCTACCTGCTTGTCACACAGGCACAGTTGAGTATGTAAGATCTGGAACATAAGAGGAGGAGTCTCAGCTGGAGAGATGATACCCTTGGCTGTCATAAGATGTTTGAAGTCAGGTGTAGATGAAATTACCTGGGAAGCAAATAAAATGAGAAAAGGACTATGGTTGTAACGCCAAGATTATACCTATTTATAGGTGACATTAAGAAAAAACTGATGAAGGCATCTAAGAAGGAAAAACCACTGGAACAGGAAGAAAACAGAAACCAGTGGTGATAAAGAAGTCAGGAAGTCAAGGGAAAATGTTTTGCCTCAGGGAGGAAGAAGTGATCAAAAACATCAAATGCTGCAGCAAAGTCAAGTAAAACAGGCAATAAGAAGTTCCCATTGGATTCATTAAGGAGCTCTGGTAGCGTAGTCTTTATGAGTCGGGCTGCTGACCTCAAGGTCAGCAGTTCGAAACTACCAGTATTTCCATAGGAGACAGATGAGGCTTTCTGCTCCCATAAAGATAACAGCCTTGGAAACCCTATATAGGGTTGCTATGAGTCAGAACCTACTCTACGGCACACTACCACCACCACCACCATTGGATTCATTGGGGGTAGGAGCCAGACTAGAATGGGAGGTATGAGTAGTCGGCTGGCAAGAGACAAAGGAATGAGAATGAGGAGTCCTTCTAGTCAACTTACATATAGGGGGCTTCCAAAAGTTTGTGGGAAAATGGAACTAAAAGACAATGGAATCTTTCCATGACCTTTAGCAGCCCCCTTGTCCATGTTTACAAGTGAGCAGCAATGATTAGTTGAATAGTACAATGACATCAACTGGTTTCAAAGTGTCAACCAATGTTCATATTTTAAATGAATGAAAGACCCACTCTAAAAATACCTCACCTCCAAAAACATAAAAACGGAAAACTCTGTTTTCCAGGTTATGCTCATCAAACCAAGTGGACCCACAGTCCATCTACCTATAATGAAACATCTCTTTTCTTTACTACCTGGTAAGACAGCGTTATTAAAAGGCTCAGTAAAAGTTGTCCCCTTGTATTTATATACAAAAATCATAGGTCATCATTGTTGTTCGGTGTTGTGGAGTCCATTCCGACTCATAACTACCCTACAAAGTTTTACAAGGCTGTGAACCTTTGCAGGAGAAGAAAGCCTCCTCCTTCTTCCATGGAGTTGCTAGTGGACTTGAACCTCCAGCCTTGAGTTTGTAAGTCAGTGTTTACCCTTAAGAACCACTCGCTACTAAAAACAGTAATGACAACAGCATCAGTTATTTGTGTCCTTAAGCCCAAATGTATAAAGTACCATGCATTAGATCTACTCACACCCAATCTTATCCACAGCATCTACTGCATTCACAACACTGCACTAAAACACCATCAGGTGCCCTGAGTAGGGATCTGCACTGAGACTGATTTGAAGAAGCA